GGAAGATCTGAAGCAGATGCCTTCCGCATCCAGACCAGTGTCAAAAGTTTGTGTGATTGCCCTTACCCTCTTCACCATCTACCTGACCGTCATCATCCACCTCATCCGAGATGATCTATCATCCACCATCAGTATCCAGTATCAACTGGACAGGGAACTTTTCAACTTTGGGTGCTTCCAGGCAAAAATTAAACTCACCCCCAAGGATATCCATGACTTTCAGTTTGTGAACAATTGCTGCTTGATGGCTCACTCTGCATAGGATGTGCAAGCCACCTTAGAACCCTGCAACACTTCGTATAAGAGACTTAGCCCTCCCCAGGCCAGCTGAACATCCCTTGCACTATCTACAGGGACGGGGAGGCTCTGGAGTATGTGGAGTACTTTCCGTATCTTGCAGCCAACTCTCTCAACAGACTACCACCGATAAAGAAGTCCAGCACCAGGTCAACTGCACCAATGCCGCCTTCTTCAAGGTGCGATAACATGTCATCGAAAATAGAGACCTTCAGAAGTTGACAATGGTCCTGGTTTACAAGGCTATTGAGCTGACCACCCTTCTCTACTGCAGTGAAATCTGGTCCGTCTCCCAACACCACATTAAGACCCTTGAGAGCTTTCACCAGCGGTGTTTATGTCAAATCCTGGGGATCAAATGAGAGGACTGCCAGACCAGTCCTCCATGAAGCTGCGTCTACCAGCATCGAAGCCTTGCTCTTGAGAAATCAACTCCGATGGATGGGCCACTGCATCCAGATGTCCAAGAACTACCTCCCTTGCCAGATTCTCTTTTCCCAGCTCACCGTTGGCCAATGCTCAAAGGAAACAGTACAAAGACACACTCAAGGTTGCCGTCAAGCACAAAGCCATTGACACCAAAGGCTGGGAGGAGCAAGCTGCTGACCATTTGGTGTGGTGCCACCTGATTCACCAAGGCACACACCAATTCAAGACTTGATATTGAGGTGGAACGGTGGCAGTGGAGGAAGGAGAAGGAGGCCAACCCAGGTCTGTGAATGCCTTTCCTCCATGCAACAATATGCCCCCATTGCTGAAGAATGTGTGTATACGGAATTGGGCTCCTCAGTCACCTGAGGAACCACCAAACCTGACAGACAACATCCTTGACTTTGAGGGACTGCCGACGATGACAACAACATGGCAGCCAGGCATTGATGAAGAGAAGCTCCCACAGTTCCCTCCAGGTAAGTGTCCAGGGGAGGGGGGGGCACAGGCCACACATTGCGTGGGGGGGGAAGAAGCACAAACTGGGCAGGGGCAGAGTCTGGCTGTGCATTGTGGGGAGGGAGGGGGCATAGGTGATGGGATGGGAGGGACACATGCCCCTCAAGATTTCTGCGCCCACAACAGGGTACAGGGCTGCAGCAGGGCTGGACCAGCTCTAGAGGGGCTGCTTCCATGGCCCAGTCGACGGGACCCAGAGCAGAAGAGAGTGCCATGTTGCCATAGCCACTAAGATGAGGCACAGCAGTGCTGTGGAGTTGTGCCCCCCACTGCTGCCAGGTGGGCAGGGGGCATCTCACTTGGTGGCCATGGCAGTGCAGTGCTTCTTTCTACACAGACTCCTGCACCCTGGGCTGCAGAGGCAGCTCCTGCCCAGAGCTGGTCCAGCCCCACAACAGCCCTACCCCCTGCTGTGGGCACAGAAATCTCAGGGAGGCACATGCCCCCCCACCCTCCTCCCATGCATTGCCTGTACCCACACCTTCCCTTCCCCACACGCCCACTCCCTTGCTCACACATTGAGGGCAGGGTGCAGCAAATCAAATGAAGGGCACCAGCAGGGCTGAGGGTTGGGAGGGAGGGGCACTGGTAGGGCCAGTGGGCTCTGGTTTTGGAGTGAGGAGCACCAGCAGGGTCAGGGGGCTGTGGGTTGGGAGTGAGGGGCACCAGCAGGGCTGGAGGGGGCTATGGGTCAGGAATGAGCAGCAATGGCGTAGGCAGGGCATCAGCACATCAGGGCTGCTCAGCGTCACAAAGCAATGGGGAAGACAGCCACAGCTGGACCCACATCCTGATAAGCAAAGGGGACACGCAGAGTTCTGATTTTCCATAATAAATGCCTGTGTTTGATTTTGGGTTTTTTATAGGTATTTATCATTTATTTTATTATAGTGATTGAGGTACTAGCAGGCTTCCAAATTGCTTTAAAATTGTAAATGTATCAATAAAACATTGTGTTAAACTAATATCTGTATCTATCTATCCATCTATAGATATATACATAGATATATATAGCTATAGATTTCATTTTAATCACAAAAAAAATGATTTTGGTTTTATAAATCAGAGCATTTGCATTTTTTTTTTATCAGAAAATTTGCAGTATTTAAACAGAGAAAACCAGGATCTATACACATCATTGAGCCTGTCTATCTTGATTGTCTTTACATATGTGCATAATAACATTGCATTTTCTCTGTGTTGAATCTCCTCTTACTGTCTGTAGTCCAATTCTCCAATCTATCAAAATCCTTTGGAATTTTTATCCTAGCTTGCAGTGTTTGAAATTCCTTACAGTCTTTGGGTTGTCTGCAGACATGATCAATATATTCTGTATTCATGTCATTAATAAAAATACTAAACAACACTGGACCTAGAACAGAATCCCGTATGATTTCCCCCTCCCCTCCTGTCCCCCTAGTGAGGCTGATAGGAAATGTATGGAAGACATGGAGGAAACTCATATACTGTCTTATTGGTCATGTACTACTGCCACTAGTTACTACAATCTTAGGCCACATACCATTCTCCTGGTAAAAGCTAGCTGTATACGGGTGTTCATTCACTATCTCCTAGGTGAAACACAACACCTGGATGGTCTCCATTGTCAGAGAAACTCTCTTGCAAGACTGAGGGCACAGACAGAAGTGCCGCTTCCCACAGTAATTGAGAACACTTTGCACGAAGCATTCTGTGTTACAACAATCCCCCTGACCAAACAGAAGTTCACTGTTCCTTCCAGGAGGGAGGGGAATCTAGCTGTTGGCTGGGAGCCTGCAGACAGCTTCTCCTAGCAATGGCCCCTCCTCCCTCCCAGTTTGCCCCTGTTTTCAAAATGGGAAGTGGGGAGAGGGAGCAGAGGGAACTCTTTTAGGGGTTCCCCATCAGGCATTGGAGAGTGGGGTGAGTGAATTGGAACCCCCCCCACACCTCAGGGAGGGTTCCAGTACACCCAACCCACCCTCCAGCAGGGGCTGAAAAAACCCCAGAATGAACTCCTTCTGCTCCCTGTTCCCCCTCCCATTCTAAAAACAGTGATAGGCAGACAGAAGTTACAAAAGACACTCAGTTTTGAAATGTGTTTATCTGAACCCTCATGCAAGAGGGTTCAGATTTTTGCCTGATCAGACATTTTTTTAAGTGGTCTGCAGCATTGCACTTGTGTTTGGTCATGGCTATGGATCTCTTTCTATGGGCAGATCGGGCAAAAATTGTCACTTCTGTCTGCACTCTGAATGCCTGTATGCTGCTCTACTCCCCTTCTGGTCCTGGTAACAAGGAGTGGAGCAGCCTCTGCTCCCCATTCCTTCCCCAGACCAAGATCACCCCAGTCTGATGAAGGTGTGGAGAACAAGGGAAGAACAAACAAGCAGAAAGATTTCTAGCGGTGGAAATGCCTCAGAAATGTTGAGACATTTGCACTGCTAGAAATGAATGCCTGTTCTTGACTTTAGTGTGTTGCAGTATTCTCAGGCAGACAAGGTTCTTTGGGTGAATCTGATATCTTTTATTAGACCAACTTAAATAGTTGGAAAACAATTATTAAGCAAGCTTTCTGGTTCAAAAACCTTTTGTCAGGCTAAGGAAGTTTCAGCAGTTGGTGTGTGGTCCTCCTGGATGGAATGAAAAGTAAAGAAGCCAGAGGCTGGGCTGGTGTGCATACAAGACAGGTAGTCAGTGAAAATGTGGATTGAGGAGTCAATGGGTGACAGACAGGCTGAGGAGGGAGGGAAAGAGAGAGAAGGGGGATGAATAGTGGAGAGAGACCTGGGGACTCAGATGTCAGGCAGGTTATAATGTGTCATAAATCCATGGTCTATATTTAGTCCATGATTTTTAGTGTCCAGGAGGCTGATGAAGTGGAGTTCATAGGCTCGTCTCTGGGAAGTGTTTTGTGAGTTTCCTTTGAGGATCAGGACTGAGAGATTGGAGAGAGAGTGGTTTTCTTGTGAGAAATGTGCCCCCATTGGTAATTGGGTATTCTTGTCTTTGATAGATTTCCGGTGTGCATTCATTCTGGTGTGCAGTTGTTTGGTCTCTCCTACATATTTTCCATCAGGGCATTTGGTGCATTGGATGAGATATATTGCATTTCTGGAGGTGCAGCTGTAAGATCCAGGAATGACAGATTCTCAGATACAGGTGAATTATCATATGTTATCTGGGAATCCTTTTTCATCTTTGCCTGGGTAGGTGATTGTGAGCATTTCTACAGGTGATCCTTTTGAGATATATATATATATGAATTGCAATTAATCTCTAGTCATTTTCATCGGACCTGATGATCTCGTGAAGTCCCTTCCAGCCCCTAACATCCATGAATAATCTTAATTTTTTGGAAGCATGTAACATTTGAAACACACTGCTCTCTGCTTTTGAAAATGTACTGTTTAGGAGTATGTTCTTCCCAGCTTTGGCTTACAGTTCGTGAAAGATCCTGAATCTTTTCTAGGATTTCAGTTCTTCTAGGACTGGTTAATTTGAATGGTTTGAAATTCTGTATTTATTAGGAATTTAAAATCACTTCAGATTAGGACATGCACATTCACAAGCACAACCTACTGTAAAACTGATGTGCCTGCTTCCAGCTGACCTAACATATAGATAGATCTGTAATGGACTAACCAGAAGTGAATGTGTCTAATGTTTAAAGTGTTAATTGGTGATTCCGTGGGAGCCAGAAAAATATATGAAAGCAGATTTAGATTCTCCTCTGGCTTAGGGAGTAAGTTTTTCATTTCCTTTTTCCCTTATAGTCAAAAGCACTTCGAGAAAAATGGCTGTTACAAGGGATTCCTGCTGGCTCAGCAGAAGAGGAAGAAGCCAGAAGGAGACAGTCAGAAGAGGATGAGTTGAAGGTGAAAGAGCTTGAAGACAACATCCATAGGTAGGTGGCTGTTTTTCTTTGCATTCAAAGAGCAGCACAATGCATTCTGAAGTCTGTGCATGATTCCTGCAGGCACATTCCCCATTGCCTTGCACTTCTAGCCACTGAAACTGGTGCAAAATAAACTGGGTGTGCATTGCTACTGTCCTGCTTTTTTATCCCTTTATATGAAATAAATGATTACGCAAAGTGAAGCAGAAGGAGAGAGCTTGGCTTGCAGGTATTTTGTCCTAAATATTATGTTGTTGAATTTGCTCTCTAGATTTGTGTGTGGGCTTGATGGGTTTTCTTTTTTTTCCTGCAATATTATGTCCCAGAACTAACAAGTGTTTTAGTTAAACTCAGGTTAAATGAGCTTCTCTCAGTTCCATTGGTGTAAATCTTGACTGACTAAATTCAGCACAGTAACTGCTGAGTAACAGCCAACTTGCAGCCCAAAGTCTTGCTAGCTGGAGGAATGTAAGGAGGGAGGAAAGGCAGTCCTGAGGCTAAGGTGCTACCACATAGTTAGAGGGCCTGAGTTCTGTTTCCTGCTGAGACTCAGATTTGTTGTGTGACTTTGGGCAAGTCACTTAAGGTAAGATCTTACTTTACCTGGGCATGATCCTATTCCACAGAAAAACTGTTAACAAAAAGGGTGAGTGCGTCTTCCTCCTACTTTCTGTGACTAGGGGTGCGTGTAGACGAAATGGGGACCCTAAATTGAAGCGGTGGGTTTTTTAAAACACCCCTTCAACTTAGGGCCCTTTAAGCACCCATGTTATGCACACAGCCACAGGCACCCGGCTTGGGTGGTCCCAGGGGGCACTGCAGCCACAGAGGGAAGCACTGGGCCCCAG